AAGATTAAGGTTTAGTAGAGTAGAGAGAGAAGAAGGATCTGCAACAGAGTCTCTCTGAGATTTCATTAGAGACTGGCGCACAGGGGAGTGATATCTCGACTCACCTGCATGGTCTGTTGTTCTGCAAAAGCTTGTGTCTTTATATCTCTGTTGTATTCTCCTTGCCTCGTAATCATGTTTTATGCTCAGTTCTATATAGATTTTGAGTTTAAGATACTGATTATGAGTAGTTAGATTATTTAATGGGGTCGAATCCCCTTTTCTATGTGAAAATTAATACTTTAGTTTTTCATTCGACCGATGTAAGTGTGATTTTAATAATTGAATTAACCTTGTGTGTAGCCTGATCATGTGGACACTTATGCTTGCATATTATGTGAATCCTGACTAGGGTAAGTTAGATTTAGAATGATTAAAAATGGTTGGTGACTTAGTGGTAATAGTTCAAGGTTCTAAGTAGGATATTTGCATGGGTGATGGCTAAAACTTAAGCTTTGCATGGCTTGAAGGGATTTTTTTTTTTTAAAGGGATTTAGAATTATTTTCAGGTTCCAATTAACTTATAAAATTCTCAAGGACAGTCCAGGAGATTTTATAAATTAATCAGTGCTATATGATACAATGCACCCAAGGGCTCTACCCATGGGATGAACATATATACCACATAGTTCCCTAGAGTCACTCCTCCCTGAATTTATTAATATATAAATCGAAAGCAAGGGAAGAGTATAGTCGTACCCTTGCTAATTACATCCAACCCTGTCATTTTAATCTTACTCTCAAGTAAGGAAAAGAAATTTGATCTAGCATTACAAGACCCCTAATATCTCTAGGTAATCCTATAGCATTAGGAAATACTTGTGAGATGCCTCTAGACGCCCGTCTAGCAAAGCCATCCGCAACGAGTTAGCTTCCCGAAAATGTGAGATATCCGGTATGATCTTCTATCCATGATAGAGTGAATTTCCATTATATGTGCATAATATTTCCAAGGCACCGAATATAATGACTCCAGAATGGATACCAAAGCCATATTATCAGATTGAATTTCCACGAGATCCAACCCTAGGGAATCGCATTTCCGCACCCCGAATAAAATACCAAAGACCTCAGCTCCAAAGCTGTCACCATCGCCTAAATAGCCACATTCTCCATATATAAAACACCCATCATGCTTCCTGATCACAAAACCATAACCTGCTTCTCCATCAATAACAGAACCATCCGTATTCAAGATGTAACCTTGTTGCATTTGCGCTTTCCATTTGACTACATTACAACTACGCCTTTGAACCTCCTTTAGCTTAATACCGAATGCTTGGTCAATGAAATCTTGTTCCAATACCGATGCCGCCTTTATTTTGTGGATCATCAATACTTGTCTAATGTCCGTATTCACTTTATGCAAGACATTTCGAACCACTAAAACTTCACCATCAAAAAGGACTTGATTCCTTAATTTCCAGATTTCCCACAAAATAAAAGAAGGAAGCATAGCAAGCAGACTCTTCCTGGCCGTTGTGAAACTACCTTTTTTCCCCCAATATATTAAAACATTTAGCAATGTCATGTTACTCTGTAGCTTAATGTCAAAAAGACGTGCATAATGACTCCAAACTCGAAATACTAGGGGGCAGCCATAAAAACAATGTTGAATGGAATCATCATGCATTTTACAAAAGCCACATATAGACGGCCAAACCTGCATTCCGAATCGAGACAATATTTCTGGGAAGGGAATGAGAAGATTTTGAAGCTTCCATAAGAAAAAAGACACTTTCAGAGGTATCATTTTATGCCATAATTTTTTGGCTAGCATGTCCACTGGTTGTCTCCGCCGCACTAGGGTATAAGCCGACTTGGTAGAGAATACGCCAGTGGTCGTTCCTTGCCAAAAAATAATGTCTCGCTTTTCCTCAAAAATCGGTGCCATATCATGAAGAAAACGCCCAAACGTAGAATGAAAAAAACCCTGAAAAATAGGGAAAAAAACATCCTTATTAGTAAAGAAATCATGAATAGTAAGGTGAGAATTTGGCGGTGTTGAAGCATCATCAGTCCATAGTACTCCTTCCGGTGCCCAATTATCATGCCAAAAAGACCTATCCCCCCCTTTAATAAGGACTTTGGTTTGCCTTCGCGCAGCAGAATCTACTTGTTGAACTCGGGTCCAAGTGGTCTTCGCCTTAGCTGAATCCGAAAGAGAAAGGACAAATTTGCACCATAATCCCTTCCTTTGATGAACCTTCCACCATAGTTTTAAGGAAAATGCAAGCACCACATCCTGAAATCTCCGAAAACCTAGGCCATTCTCTTCAGTTGGATATGCCAATTTTTCCCAGGATCTCCAATGCCGTTTTTGTTCTTCACCAAGGCCTTGCCATAGGAATCGCTGACACCTCTTTTCCAGCTGTTTAATAATAGAAATTGGCGGACTTATGGCTGAGAAAACATGTATTGGTAAAGCCGATAGGACATGCCTTAAAAGGACAAGTCTTCCTCCCGGGCTTAGAAGCTTATTTTTCCAACTTGAGAGCTTTTTATCCAAGGAATCCAATAGGAACTGAAACGTAGAGGCTTTCTTCCTGCCATAGAATAGTTTACACCCCAAATACATAAAAGGAAAAGATCCTTTTTGTATCCCAAGTTCACTAGAAATGGTTTGAACCCGTTGCGCACTACAAGTGTCAGCCACATAGAATGCACTTTTCTGTTTATTCATTTTTTGTCCCGAAGCTTCTTCATAGTCCGCTAAGAAACCTGTCAAAGCTTTTAAAGATTTCTTCACACCTCTTGTAAAGATAATTAGATCGTCCGCAAAGCAAAGATGCGTAACGGCTAGGAACCCGCCGGCGTACCATACATCTCCACTTTCCGCTCCCGAACTAAGTATTTTAGCCTTCTCGTCATAGCTTCAACCACCAATATGAATAGGTAAGGCGAGAGTGGGTCACCTTGCTTAATCCCACGACTTGATTTGAAAAAACCAGCCGGGGAACCATTTATCAAGACCGAGAACCAACTATTCCTCAAGTTGTTCATAACACATATTACAAATTGCACCGGGAACCCTAGCTTCAAAAATACCTTCTCCAAAAAGCTCCAAGACACCATGTCAAAAGCTTTCATCATATCTATCTTTATGGCCACATTATTCCCCACAGCTTTATATTTTAGGAATTGACATAGATCCTGGGCCAAAACGACATTGTCGATGATATCCCGCCCTTCAAGGAAAGCTGATTGCTCCTCCGATATAATCTTAGGCAATACTATCTTTAATCTCTCTGTTAAGATCTTCGTAAAAACTTTATTGAGAAAGTTACAAAGACTTATTGGCCGGAAGTCAGAAAATGTGGAAATGGACGACTTCTTCGGGATTAAAGTGATTACCGTACTTGCTATAGCTCTCGGAATTGGGACACCCGCCATAAATTCATTGCAAGCATTCATCAAATCCTCAGCAATTATATCCCAACAGGAGCGATAGAAGGAGCCTCCAAACCCATCCATTCCTGGCGCACTTTCTTCACTTAGACCAAACACGGCTATCTTTAATTCCTCCAATGAAACCGGTCGAATAAGCATAAGCTTCTCATTGTCGTCAAGTTCATCTTGAAAATGCTGAAGAAATAAATCCTGCTTTATAGTCTGATTCTGAGACGTGGAACTTTCGGTTAATAGGCTTTTAAAAAACCTGATGGCCTCATTTTCAATATCCAGCAACTCAGTCAAACTTCTTCCATTTTCCGTTTGTATTTTCTGGATTCCCAATCTAACTGTTTTATCCACCAGTGAAGCATGAAAGAAAGAAGTATTTAAGTCTCCTTCCTTTAGCCATTTTAGTTTCATTTTCTGCCTCCAGAAATCCTCGTGTTCCTTCAGCTTTTGCAATAGAAAAGCATTTGCCTCCGAAAGATTGATTCTGTCCGAAACTTGTCCCGAGCGATCATAAACGAATTCCATTTCCTTCACCTTTTCTTCTGCCTTCTTTAAATTCTGGAAAACATCACCAAAATTATTCTGATTCCAATATTTTAGTTTGACCTTGAGCCTACGCAGCTTAGTAGAGAAAGCAAACATTCCGCTGCCTAGGACCGGTTGCGACCAACTTTCTTGCACCACAGCCCTAAATTCAGTTCTGCGCAACCACATTTGTTGAAATCGAAATAGATGAGGCTTAGTTGCTACTTGAACATCAAACTGAAGTAGCAAGGGATTATGGTCTGAAGTTGTCCGGCTGAGATGCTCAATGGAGTGGTTTGGAAACATGTCTAGCCATTCCTTAGTAAAGAGAATGTGATCCAGTTTCTTACTAACCCATCCCGTATTTCTTGTGCCACCCCATGTGAAATCCTCCCCAACTGAAGAAAATTCAAGTAGATCAGCCGATTCAATGGCCTGATTAAACTCCTCTATTGCGCCAATATCTTGAACCGTGTTTCCAGAATATTCCTCAATGGTTCTTATTACGTTAAAATCCCCACCAATCATCCAAGGATATGCTGGATTCCTTGCACGGAAGAGCTCCATATTTGCCAGAGAATCCGCCTGTCGACCTTGTTCGATCTTGCATACACAGAGGACATAAGAAACTGTTTTTGTGTTGGAAGGTGGCACACCTCCATATGCATTACTTGTCCAGCATCCTCTATCATTTTTATTGTGTACATCCTACTGCTCATTACCCAGATTTTACTTGTGCTAGACGAGAATGCATGATCCAGTCTCAATTCCCTTCTTATTTCGTCAAGTTTATTAGCTGGAAGCATTGGCTCCAGAATAACCACCATTGCAACTTGATATCTTTGCATAAGAGTCCTCAAGCGTCGCTGAGATGCTTGTTTTTATTCCACGAACATTCCAAAAATGACACTAATCATTGGAAATTTTTAAAGGAAAAGAGAACTACTTATTGAAAGCGAAGTGATCGCCGAAGCTCAGCCCCTTCAAGCTCCTTGGCGATTTGCTCCCTTGTTTTCCTACCGCGTTTCTTTTCTTTACCCAGTCTTGATCCCACGTTCAGTATCCAATGTTAGCCTTTCCTTATCCCCTTCGACCATGTTCCCTATCGCAGCAGCATCACTTCCTTCACTTTCTGCTGGAAACGAATCATCAGGGTATTTCAGTGATGGCTTAATAATTTCTGGTTGCAGAATGTCATTAACTGTCACAGCTTCCATTTCTAGACCAGCCACCATTTCTGAATTTTCACCATACAATCCTTGAGGATCACCAATCACGGATTCTCTACCCGTAACCAACGTAAGATCAATAATAGGATCCTCCTCATCACCATTTTCAGATACATCACCATCATCATCACAAATCTGAAGGAGCGCAAACTTATTCCCTTGCTCAATGGCTACATGAGGTCCATTTGTGTCATCAAGATCGAGTTGTGACGTTTGCAACTGTAACCCAGCATCCCCTTGCGCACTATGACCCAGGTGCAGATCGTCAACAACTATAGTTTCCAAAGTCTCTGGCTGGGCAGAGTTACGCTGAGTGTCGAAATCCCCTTGCGCCTTCGAGCTCAGTCGCAATTCGCTCGCAACCTGAATCTTTGGATCAACTATGGCATTATCGTCTCCTTCAAAGAGAATCACATCATTCACAGTCTTATCACCCGAATCTCGTTTCGGACTACTTTCAATATCAACAATAATAGATTCCTTTTCCTTCTCTTTTAAACCAGAGCCAGAAGCCCCATCGACTAATCTAATTCTTGCAGGCTGCAAAGTTAGATTTTCCGCATCCTGTGCCTCCGTAATTTTAGTAGAAAGATCATTGATGATCTGAGGATTGGCATTAATAGTCCCAACCTGCATTTCACCTTTCTTGGCACTCCTTTTGGAATCCCATTTGACTTTTTTCTGATTCAATCGAAGTCCATTCTTACTTCCCACCAAAACCTTTTCTGATAGCGCAACCTTTTCCGCAGCCGGCTTTTCCATCCCTGCTTGTTCCTCCTTGCGCAGAACCGCATTTATCTTGCCCTTCCCTTTTCTGCAATCAATTACTTTATGCCCGATCTTACAGCAGGATTGACAATAAGCCGGTATATATTCATAAGTATAAAACTGCTCAAACTTCTTCCCTTTCTTCCCTAGGCGAATGGATTTTGGCAGCTCTTTCAAAAGGTCCACTTCCACACAAAACCGCGCCACTGAAGGCCTTGTCAGATTGAGAGTCGGAGCGTCCACCTGCAAGGGCTTGCCAACTGCAGAGGCAATTGAATAAAGCACTGATGGATGTGTCCATTCCAATGGGAGTTCATGCAGTGAAACCCATATTGGTACAATTGGGGGGTCTTCCTCAAATTTGAATCCCGGCTGCCACTTTAAGATTCTCATTTGAAAGATACCAATATGCCAGAGAGATGTTATCCAACACCGTTGATAATCCTCCTCCAATTCAAACCTAATCAACACGTGCCTTGGATTCATGAGCCCAAGTTCATAACCTCCTTTGAAGCCAATCTTCTTAAACTCATCTCGCAGAAACTCCATTTTGGGACGCCCATATGAGAATTTTCCCACAAGGTTCATCTTATGTGGAGCTATCAAATCTTCAAATTCGTCATCGTCATATTCCAATTCCGGTGTTCCATTAAAAAATGTGACTTTTTTTGGGTTTTGTAGGGTTTTGGGCTCAAACGCATTAGTGTTGATAGCCTTAGGTTTTGCAAAAAAGCTTGCAAATGTGCGGCGTTCTGCCGCAGATGGTGGTATTCCGGCCATGATGGCCGGAAAAGGTAGCCTTCAATTCTAGGGTTTGGGACGTAAAGAGGAGAGAAAACCTAAGGCTAGAGAAAAAATCCTTTTTTTAATCAGCTTGAAGGGATTTAAACATTTTACTCAGAAAAAAGTTGTTAATCATCGACGGGACTTCCTGAAGAACATCGGCAGAGACTTAGAGATAAATAAGCGTATGATCGAATACACTTTGTACCACATAGATACACAATCACTGTAGAAGTGATATAAAAAGGGAGGAGGATCCCCAGGCATTTTCACTCATCGTAGTCCAATCTTGCTCGCTAAGTTGTTGCTTATCCTTCACAATTTGCTTGTCTCCTCTGTTCTACATTCCCCTGGATGATAATCTGTGAGTCCATCTGTCACTCACAAGAGTGGTGAAGCCACTCACATGAGTCGCTATCTTCTCCAGCATCTCCCGGGTTAGATTACCACTTGTGTGAGTATTGACACCCTTCACGTGAGTGGTCATCTTTTCTTCTATTTTTTTTGGTCTATTTTGTAGTTTAGTTGCTATGATTTAAGTGATTCTCAGGTTGTTCGGCCGTCTCGATGGATCAACCCAACTTACCGCTATCTAGTAGTAGTCGGTTATATATTTCTTTTTTGGCTAAAGTGACGGCCTCGGTGACACCATGATCCACGAACCATCTTGACCTTTTACATAATAAATCCCAGGTCTACTTTTTTTCTCCGTAATGAAAACATGAAGGAAGGTTGTATTTGCGGTGGATTAATATGTGGATGAGATGTTTGTGATGTTATAGAGAACCCAGTTACAAAGGTGTCTCCACCTTCTCCCCCCATCCCACCTCTACCGCCACATCCACCTCCACCCACACCACCCCTCTCGTCCCACCCACATCCCCAACACCTTCATCCACAGTTGGATACTATGTATCTGGGTTGAAAGTGGATGAATTTATCAGGCTTGAAGCACACCTGGATAGGATAGTGAGGGATAGGCTTGTTCTTAGAGGTGTTCTCATAGGAATTTTAACAGATTTGACAACAAATGTTTTGGACATCTCTAGTATTGCATAGGGAGGAATAGTGATGAGTCTACTCATATGTGAAGACACACAAGGGCTTAATATCTCTTGACTGTTGTGTTCTTTGGTGGTTCTCCATTACCTTCCACAACTACTTTGATCAAATTCAGGATGAAGAATGTGGATTGTTCACATGTAACAAATCAGGAGAAGGGGTTTAAACAAGATTTGGATCTTTTCAATGAAAGCTATGTACCAACTCCATAAGAAGATAATTCCCAAAGTGTACAAGATGGAGTTGAAATTACCCAAAAAAAATTTGCAAATAGGGTAAACTATGTCAGGAGGAAGCAGTTTGATGACATGAATCTGAAGAGATCTTATCTATTCTAGATGTTGATCCTAGCTTTCGCAATTGGCATTTCTGTTTTTATGCTAATCTTGGTGAATCTAGTCTACAAATATGATCCAAAGCAAGGATCAAAAGATGGTGTGGTGGATGTTTCTTTTCCATTGGCTCCAGTATTAAAGACTATCCTTAGAATTCGTGATCGTTGCATTCGGTGAAATGGATCTAGAGTGGCGCTCATGGCTATTTGAATGTTCAAATAGTCGTTTTTTTGCTGAGTAAAGAATTTCGAGAGAACCTTTTGCTAACCGAGTGGTAGGCTTAATTTAATTGTAGTATTTATAACCTTTTGGAGAGGCCAAACTTGTTAAGACATAAACTTTTTTATCTCAGGATAAGTTTTTTGCTTAATAATAAAAAAATGTTGTATTTACAACACCTTCTTTAATCCATTTGATCTTCGATTTTTTATGTAAAAAAAAAAACCCCCCATCTCATTCCCTTAGTCTTTGAGAAAGAAACGATCTGATACAACACCTGTTGCATCAAATTTTAATTCATTCATTTGAACATCTTCTTCAGCTGCACATAAATTCCAAAAAATATCCCCAAAAACATTTTTGTTCCATTCTTTCAATCATACTTTTAACCTTCTTATCTTAGACGAAAAAGAAAACATTCCAAATCCTTCAATCGGCTGATCCCATAATTGACAGACTACGTCTAAGAACACGTTTCATCAAAACCACATCTTCTGGAACCAGGAAAGTCGAGACCTAATTCTATTTCAAAACCAAACTGATGTAATAAGGGAATATGATCCATTGAAGATCTATTTAGGTGCTGAACCATTGAAGTTGGAAAACGGAAATCCATTCCTCCATAAATAGAAACCAATCTAGATTCTTGAGGACCCATCCATTTTGTCAATTTCCAACCCAAATATACTCATTTCCTATCGTTTGCAACTCAGTCAAATTGCAATTATTAATCCAAACATTAAATTCTTCAATGCTTGCTCTGTTCAGCTATGTATTTCATGAATATTCCTCAACAATTTGAATTACATTATTGTCACTTCCCACCATCCATAGTTCACAAAGATGCTGATTATAAGAATTTGTTAGCTCTGTCCATAGATCTTGCAAGTCCCTTCGAGTTGCTTTTGCATACACAGTTGATATCAGAAACGTATTTGAGGTGTTTGAATGAAATACTTTTAGACATAGCACTTGATCAGTACCACCCAACTGGGTAACTGAAACATCATTCGTATAGAAAACCCAAATTTTTCCTGTGATAGACATACTTACATAATCAAACATAGCTTATGTTTTAGTTCTTCTACTTTCTCCGCCTAATGCATTGGTTCAAGAATTACTACAAAAGAAATTTTGTACATACAGACCAAATTTTTTAGCCGTCGTTTTGATGCTTTATTCCCAACAGCCCTAATATTCCATATTAATTGATTTATCATATTTAAGGTTTAGGGAGAGGGTTTAATTTGGAGCCTCATCGATTGACGAGTTTCATTCCCTTCATTTTGCATCCGTTTCTTTGATCCTTTAGGCTATCTGAGCTTCTTCTTTTTCCTTTCCCCATTAGAGTTGATTATTCGAGTATTCTTTGAGATATTCATGTATGTTTTATCTCCAACAAGGTTATCATCCTTCGAATAGTAGCCTAGAAGTTGTTGTTTTTGTGAAAATTAATATTGCACATCATCAGTTTTCAGAAAAATTGATTTCTTTGTTGTCCAATCCTTCATTAATGTCAACCTCCATAGATTGATCTATTATTTTTTCATCAACTCCATCAATAATTTTGCCAAGATTACTTGTAATCGAAACTTTTGAATGTACTACTTCATCCTCAGATTCTTCTTCACCATCAACTTCTTGAGCATTATTTTTATAATTTTCCCCATCGTCATAATCCTGTAGCTTAGTCAAAACCTCATATCATGAAGAAAGTTCTTAATTTTAAGTAGAAACAGAATGCTATCTTGGAATAGCAAGCTACTTTTCTGTGAATTTATCCTTTCTATTTCGCAGCGTCATAAGATCATTCATGATTTCTGAATCCCATGGTTCAAGCCTTGATAATCTGTTAGATTCTCCTCTAGAATTGAGTCTAGTTTTTCTTTGGTCAGATTCCATTTTCCAGACGATTGAAGTTGGATTAATGGACTTCGATCCATCATATCAATTGGAGGCCCAATGACTCGAGTTAGAAGTAAAAGGATGAAGAGTGCACTTAATAATCTTATATCAAATGGTTTAGCCCAAGAGAATGTCAAGTTTGGACGTTACAAGTCCAAGATTATTAATGTCTTACAAGGCCCATTTGAGGAAGGAAATTTCGGCCCACAAACCAATCAAGGAAGGCCGGCCCTATCTCCTAATTTTTAGGAGTTGGAATCTCTATCTTTTAGGGATAAAATCATTTAAATCTTATCACATCTATGGAAGGATAAGATGTGGAAGATTCCCTATCTTTTAGAGATAAGATCATTTAAATCTTATCACATGGAAGGATAAGATTTGATATGATTCTCTTTTATCTAATTTAGAGTTTATTCAAAATAAAAAGTCTATTCCTTGGTGTCTACTCTCAACCGTTGCATGGAGATTAGATCAAGATTGGATGGCTATGATTACTCTACAAAGAAGATATTAATAGAGTTGACAACTCAGGAAGATTCTTTTCAATATAAGGATAAGATTCTTTTGAGAGAATATCTCTTTGTATTTGGAATTTTATTTTCAATAGACTAGTGTATCTTAAGTCTATAATGGTGTCTAGATACATTGCCTTAATAGACAAGACACAAGTTGTCAATTAGAGGTTAAGTTGATTTCTAATTCTTTAAACTAGGAACAGAGTTAGAGATCAAACTCTTCTCCTAATTGGTAGGAGAATTTTCGGCCCCCTCTACTATAAATAGGAGTGCTTGGCCAGCATTTCATTTGTACCTTTAATGAATTATTTCAATATGAGACGAGAGGGAACTCTTTGTTCTTTTTCTACTCTTTTCGAAGATTAGTGCATTGCACACAAGCTTTTGCTTTGTTGATGCATGCGAGGAGAATAGGCGTTTTTCTACTTGTGGAGCTTTGTTAGTTGTTCATTGGACCCTTTTCGCTAGCCGTTCTATCCATAAATCGAAGGGATGGGGTTGTTAGAGAGGTGACCGATTAGATTGCTAACCTTAAACACTTTCTACATCTTTTAAAACTTTCCATCCCTTTTTGGTGCAAATTTTTGTGGTTTGCATCTCTTCTTTTCTTTTATTTTTCGTGAGTTTGGAGTCTTAATATTGGATTTGCAAGTTTTCAAGTCCTGGGAAATTCATATCTTCCGCGTCGAGGTAAATCTGCCACCTTTGCCTCAAGATTCGTATCAATTGGCCTCAAAGCTTAGGTTCTTGAAGACTTGTTTTTGTTTTGATCTACTAAAGCTCATCTTTGGTTAGATCTCTAATTGTTCTTTTGAATTTTTGAGTCTTTTATTATAGATCTCACTATTTTGCTTCGATTGTATTCTTGTTTGATTTGATTGAAGTTGTTATAGTTAGATCCATTATTGTTAGTATATATAAAAAAAACATTTCTTCTCCTAAATTATCGGATCTAGGG